AGGTACGGTTGTTCAGTCAGGCGACTTGGAGCCGAAGTGGTGTGCGAGGTGAAATATTGAGTTCGGATAGAAGCATGGCCCGAACTGCCCCTGGGTGGGCAGTTCGGGTTTTTTGCCTTTTGTGCTCCTTGTAAGGCTTAGGACCTCGAAGGGAGAGCTCGGGTTCCTCCTTGGGGAGCTCGAGACTCTTTAGCTCGAAGCTCGGAGGTCGGGTCGTAGGTTCCTCCTTTTAAGGGAGCTCGGAGCTCGGGTTGTGGGCCTGCTACCGTGCCGAGCTGGCGCTTCTGCCAGGTCACTCTCGATTGCTTCCACGTTTCGCATGGCCAAGAGTTCGGGTCAAATCTCCCTCCATCGATTAATAAAGAAAATTAAATGACACTCAAAGGACATTTATATCTTTTCAAATGCCACTTAATTAATGATGAACGACTAGTTAACGGAAGATACCAGATTGAAAGAGTATTTTCAGCATTTGATTGAAGAGCCATTTGATAATGGTTGGTGTGGCTGAATGTATTTATTGGCTTATTGTTTTATTTAAATAGAATATAATAATTAAATAATATAACATTCAAAGATATATTAATCTAACTTAATAACTAAAAAGACAAAGACAAACAATACAATTCAGCCACTTCTGCTGTCGTCAAACGACCCCTAAATGTTCCATCCGACGTGATTAGGGGGTAATATCATTTGGGAAAACCATGGACAAGGACACAAGGTGGGGAAGTGGGCCAATGTGAAGGGACCGAACAAATGGTCTTCTATCTCCGGTTCTCCACCTCATGGATCACATCATTCCTCTATGTGCAACAAATAGATTTATTACAGACCAAGAAGGAAAAAGTTATTAATTGATGAGATGCATTCCTATTGGTAGAAACAGTATTGTAATTTAGGCTCAGCATAGTCAACAATGAATGAAATCCTTGATGAGTGTATGCAACTATACAATACAATTTCAAGTATACGTTTTCTCTGCACTCTGCTCAAATTATGGAATATTTGCAGTATAGAGCTCTGGTTCATCTTCACATTCTAGTAGAGCTTGTACTACCATCCCCATGGTTGGTCTCCTGTTTCTGTCCTCATCCACACAGGATATACCTACTTCAATCATCAATGCCGCCTGATTCCTATTGAACTGCCCTTTCAATCTTGGGTCCACTGTATCATCAACCCAAGTATCTTCTCCATTCTGAATCTTCCTCTTTACCATCCTGAGAAATCTCGTCATCTCTGCCTCCTCTTCTCCATCCATCATCACCCAATTGGAAAGACGGATGCCTCTCACAATCTCCAGAATAACGACCCCATAGCTGTAAACATCGACCTTGGATGTGATAGGAAGGTTCAGAGCCCACTCTGGAGCCATGTATCCCTTTGTTCCTCGAATTCTAGAGAACTCAGAACCAGAGCCACCCCTCTGAGATAACTTTGCCAATCCAAAATCTGAGATCTTAGGTTCAAAATCCCCATCCAAAAGTATATTTTCAGGCTTCACGTCGCAGTGAATTACCCACTCGAGACATTCATGGTGAAGATATGCTAAACCCTTGGCCGTTCCCAGAGCGGTCCTGAATCTCTCTCTCCAATTCAAAAAACTAGTATTGGAGAAGAGATGCTTATCCAGTGAACCATTTTCAACGTACTCGTAAACTAATAATTTCTTGGTCTTTTCTGCACAGAAACCCCACATTCTGACCAGGTTCATGTGATTGATTCTCCCAAATGTGCTCACTTCTGCCCAGAACTCTTCTTCTCCCTGAAACACATCTCCCAATCTCTTGACCGCCACCACCCTGCCATCCCTTAAAACTCCCTTGTACACACCTCCTGACCCACCCCTCCCTAGCTCTTCCTTGAACATTTTGGTTGCCTTGTTCAGTTCAGCATAGGTGAACTTCCTGAACTGACTCATCATCGCACGGTATCCATTCTCCATCAACGTTGGCATTTCGTTTCTCCTGAAGAGACACCACCAACTAGATACAATAATTAAGGCTTCAATCGCACCAATCGACAAAGCAAATGAATACAGATAACCCCAGGTACTCTTGTTTTTCTTTGACTTGAAGTTGCCAGACGGAGTCGGGGAGGCTTCATTGCTCTTAGTTCCATTTCCACAAGTGGGATTGGATCCTCGGGGAGTGGAGACCTTGGACGTCAGATTTAAACTTTTGGGAACCTTCAAGTACACGCTGCCTTCGAAGCCTGGAGTGTTGTAGCCATTAAAGAGTGAAGCTTTCAGGAAACAGTATGGTTCTCCTGATAGCCTGTAAGTAAAGGCCTCACAAGCGCACATATTGAAGCAGAGATCTCTGCAAGTTTCTAGTGGTATAGAGTATGCACGGTTGAAATCAAATCCATAGAAATCAGTATGAGGAAGCTCCACGAATGTCATATCTTCGGGATTGTCGCAGTTTTTCTCGAACATAGGCTCGCAACCTTTGTTCCAATCACTTGGGTCACTTGTCTTGTATCCCGGCGGGCATAAACAAGTTGGCTTTGGTGTATACCCACAAATCCCATTTTTCCCACACAGTCCACGCACAAAGCACGACTGTGGGTTAGATTCCCAGGTTACAATCCATAACCCATTTGATTGGTTTAAGCTGTAGAGTCTAAGGTTACCATCAAAATCGATGGTCAGTCTCCTTCTAATCCCATAGCCCAAATCAGTGGCATAAAATCCTGTATTGTCGCTCGACGTGAAACTACCCTGTTCATCGAGTACTGCAATTCTGGTTCTGTTGTAACTAGTTCTATTGTTTCTGAACACAGCCAATTCGATATTTGGCCAAGATAAGGTAGTAATGTCTGGCCCATCATACATTAATCTCAAAACGTTGTCGTTATCGAAATAGAGAATGTAATGGCCAGACGAATATTGACCTCTGGCTTTTACAGAGATTAGTCTCGTGTTCCTGGTGAAGGGTTGTAAAGGGAGAAGAGTATCAGTAGGAAAATCAAAGCTTTGCCAGGATAAGTTACCGTGACGGTCTCTCAGGACAAGATTCCCCGTGTTGAGGAGCTCAGCTTGGAATCCTTTGCCAGTGGTGTTGGTGGACCAGACGATAGATCCGTCGGCATCGGTGAGAACCATGGTGCCGTCCTTGCGCAAAGAAATTCTGGAGCGTCGGCCATTGACGGGTCGGTCTCGATTCGCCATCCAGACAACTGTTTTCTCCGTTACATTGGTGAACCAAATTGAGAAGCTGAAGGCGTTTGTGCCAACAGGGTAAAATCCACAGGTGAACCATTTGTCTGGAGAGGTAAGGAAATCCGAGGCATAATCTTCAACTGATAGAGAGGATCCTCTGTTCAGGGAATCCCGAGGTGTTGAAGTTGCAAAAGTGGAGAGGAGGAAAATAGGGAAGAGAAGAAAAGGGATAAACGGAGAACGACGAATCGAGTTGCTCATGCCTGAAGTAGAGACGAGAAATTCAAGTTGCGAGTAGATTGCCAGAACGCCAGAAACCGAAAACCACTTTGGTTTTGTAAGCAGTTGTCCTGGACCTCACCCCTCCCAATGAAGCGTAGGCGGTGGGCGTGGCCTTTTTTTTTAAGGTAAAATAAGCGAGGCTTTCGTAATCTCCGGTTCCTGTTTTTTAAAAGGCAAAAGCGATCTGGATTAGGGCTGTTCACGGATCGGGTTACGTCGGTTTGTTGTTGTTTTTTAATCGATCTGACTTGGTCGGGTTGCCTGAAAATGAAATCAAAGCCGATTTTGTGTTAATCAAAACTGATTTAGTCAATTTGAGTGGTTTGGGTCGGTTTGAGTGCTTAAGTTGAGGGGCTAAAGAAGTAAGGGAAGACCAAGTTAGAAGTTACCAAGAAAAGAGAAAGTCAAATTGTGTTAGAAAAAAAAAGACTGAAATTTAGAATTTTTAAGAAGGCTTCTAATCTAAATAAAAAAGACACTTAATTGTAATTAGCTATTTGGTGTAAAGGACTTTAGAGAATAGGATCATTTCTTTAAACCTTCCAAAAAAATGCAAGAAGCTATTAATGACATTAATGACATTCATTGTCTTGCAATGCTTGCCATTAATGGCATTCCTAAAGAGAATGCTAGAAAATAAAAACTATAAGTAACTAGAAAGTAGAAACTAAATTAAGTATTAACTAGGAACTAAGTCGGTTCGGGTCGATTCGGTTTCAGTTTTCATGTGTGGAAACCGAAACCAAACCAACCCATGCTTTATGCTTTTTAGTAACCCGAAACTGACCAACACTAAAGAAAACCCAGCCTATTCGGATTGGGTCACTAGACTCTAGAGTTGACTTGTTAATGATGAACCGGGCTCTGGCCCGGCTTTTACCATTTAATCATTTATTAATTATTATGTCTAGACTCGAGTCCTCTGATTATTCGGCCTATTTTTAAACCCGAGTCCGGCCCTGATACAAAATTCAAAGCCGATTCTATATTATCCAATATCCTAGTTTTATCTTCTAATTTTATATATATATATATATATATATATATATATATATATTTTAATTTATTCTTATCCATTCACACATTTTGCACATAAAAATATTTCTACGCAAGATACAATTATACTTCTAAATTGAAACAAAAGAAACACGTAAAACAATATAAAGACCAAATAGTAATACAGAGTAATGCCTAATGCTTAGTACTAATATATGTTTATTATTTATGATACTATTGGGCTGATCACATTTAAAAAGTTCAAGTTTGGCCTGAAAATTTAATCGAGTCTATGAAATTCCAGTTGGCCCAAGTTAGCAATTTAGCATATTATACTTTAAGGTTTTTAAAATTAGACCGGACAGGAAATCATTCTGGGATTCGGTTTTCAGATCAAACAGACTAATCATCTGGTCTGAATGGACAGTCTGTTTTGATAAAAAATAAAAAATGGCCAAAATTATTATTTGGTTCAAACGGATCAACTGTTTAGGTCAATAGTTCGTTGATCAAATCAACAATTTTTGGCTAAAAAAGTGGTTTGGGGTAAAGCAACCGATTTCTGATTTTTCTGGTCCAACCGTTTGAAATTTAAAAAAAAAAAAAAAAAATTAACAACCATTCAACCATTCCCCAAATTGCATTCCTAATAGTGGAGATACCATTCATTGCCAAACCATAGATCAAGTGGCATAATATATGTGCAATGCAAATATGTATAAGATGATATAAAATATAAGATTTTATACTCTATATACTTATATTTGCATTCTTTAATTCCAAACCGAGCCTAAGAAGATTACAAATACAAATATGTTCAATTGCAATACCTGGTATCCTAAGTATTTGCACTCTTGCCATCTCCATTTGAGAATATTACAAATGCAAATATATTCGGTGCAAATACATATATATGCTGTCATTTTTTTGTGCCTACTTGTATTTTCGGTGCAAATACATATAACAAGACTTCAAATTGTTATTTTGAAGCCTAATAATAATTTATCGTGCTCAACCAATAATTTAAAACTAAATTGATTAACCAATTTTTTCAAACCAATAATTTAAATCTAAATCGGCTTTCTTTATCGTGGATCCGTGGTCTGGTAGTCGTTTTGGTGTGAAATTCAATGAACCGAGTCCACAAAGTCCGTCTTGCAACAGTGTAGAAAAGAGTACATTTTTGGAGTGAGCCAACGAAAGACAAGTACTGTTTTAACTTTTGTCCTTGGTAGGCAGACCCTACTTTTATAGTGGATGGCTACGTGATTGATTGGTTCAGTATTACGGGAGTTGGGATTCGGATGGGCTGAGAGAAATAAATAAACTTTCAACAATTTATAGATAATAGATGAGCTTAATTACAGATAATAGATGAACTGCCACCGAGTTTGAGCTGGGTCGACGGTCTCTATGCTTCGAAGAGTTCAGGCGTAGCATCAAGTACCGAAAAAAAAAATACAAGTGCTCCGTCAAAGTGTATTCTTCTTGCCTACTTGTGAAGAGTAAACGTGCAAGCTAAGAACTACGACTGTGCCTTAGGCTTCCGCAAATTTCAAGAAGCGTAAATAATTTGACAGTTGTTGTTTGCTACGAAGCTCCATCAGCTTTGAATCGTATACCTTTTATTATATGATTAATTAGCGTTACCCGTCGCACAGGTTTTGTTAATAAAGAATAAAATAATAATAAATAAAGTAAAAGAATCAAAATAATAGTTCGATCAATTTAATAAAAAACTTAAAATAAACTATAATAAAACAAAGTCAATTGCTTAGTTTATAGAAATAATCATAAACAATGTATTTTATGGAAAAGAAGTTAATGTAGTTCATTCAGTAATTATTAATTATTATTTTTATAATTAATCATAATAATAGTTTACATAATATTGATTATTATTATTATTTATTAATTGTTATGATTATGATTAATTATTAATTATTTTATTGGGTAAATTACAAAGATCCCCTTGTACTTTGTTTTGTGACAAAAACCCCCCTATTATGACCGTAAAACAAAGAACCCCTTTAACCGTTAAGTCAAATGATGGAATGCATTAAATTATCAAAATACTCTACTAAACTTCTTCTATTTTCTTTTTTGCCCCTTTTCTCTTAAAACTTATTTAACCTATTGTTTTCCCTTTCTTCTCTTCTTTTCCCCTCTCTCACTGTCTTCTCTCATTCTTTCTCTCTCCCAACTCTCCCAAATAAAAAAGCGGAGGAAATCCATTTCTCATTTTCCCTTTCTTCTCTTCTTGGTCTTTAATCTCATCTATATAGCTGCTGCCGACGATGCCGTGGGAAACATACTCGGACTGAGTGGGCTTTCCCAAAGGAGACTTATAGTCTACCCAGTAATGACCAATGCTTTTGCCATTAAACCAAACCATGCCCTTGCCCATACTTGTTAGATTGAGAGCGACTGGGTTGTCTCCTTCAGGAGCGTCGAAGTTCTAGAATGAGAAATTTTCATCTTATCTGTTACCATTCATAGCTAGATATGAGTTGTAAGAAAAGAAAAAGCAAAAACATCAAACCAAATTCGGTCTGATCACTGATCGATTAGATTCCACTAGTAGTGGTTTCCCGCGATGATACCTTGTACCATGTAAGAGCATGTCCACCCCCCTTGGCCTCTTTCCACGATACCTTCTATGTTCCCTCTGGAGTAAAGATTTGGTTCTTTTCTCCATCTACTCAAACCTGTGGCATGTGCCAAGCTTAATCCATTGGATAGCTGCTGCTCATGGACTGAGATAAATGGTGCAGTTTAAGCTTAGAAAGTTGATGCATGATTACCTGATGTCCCCATCCATTGGCCGATAGATCAAGTGTTCTGGTGTTCAAACCTTGGACAGCTACACGATGAACACCAGCAAGCCTAATGTTCAAGTAGGCTCCACTATCCTTTATTTAGAGAGAGAGATCTTTACTTAAGTTCCTTGTTTAAGATAAGAAAGAAAGGAAATTGAACATTGCAGAATATATATATCACCGGGAATTCGACTGTCATTCCTAACAATTGTATGTGGTTGGTCCCAAGTTTCACGGGTACTGGTTTTTGGAATGTGAAAGCCTTTTCAATATGGCTGTCACGTTCGGACCCTGAAATCCAAAACAAGGAAAAGCAAGCAGAATATATATATAGTAGGGTGGTGTAGGCAATTAGTCAATAATCAAATTGTAAGTTGTCTGTTCTTCATCTGCAAACAACAGAGAACAGAGAAAAAACAGAGAAAATCGGAAAGAAGAAAGGGGAAGGGGAGAGAGAGAGTGGGAGGACTTCAACGGAAGTTTGCCACTGCTACTGTTCGTGTATTGTAAGGTTAAGGAAGATAAACAGTGATTTTCTCCCAATTAATAGTTATTACAAGGGTAGTATGGGGATTAACAAATACTATAACGGCGGATTTCAATGAAAAGCTAATTTACCCTATTTTATTTTTATTATTCATTATTAATTGTTATTGTGATTAAAGTATTGATTATTATTACCAACTTCTTAAAGTATTTGTGTTTAATAATAATCGAAACAACACCGTTTACTATAAACTACTTAACTATTATCATTAATTATTAATTATTTTATGATTAATTCATTATTATTTTTATTTATAATAATTATTATTATTATTATTATTAAGGAAATTGTCTAAAATCAACTTCACTTTTTATAAATTCTCTTAAACTCATCATAACTTTTTAAAACGTCTAAAACTCACCATCTGAGTGAGATTTTATTTTCTAAAACTCATCATCCCCTAAAACATCGTTAAAGTTCATTGACCCAAATTGTCCATGTCAACCTAAATGCAAGTTTCTTGACCAAACTGCCCCTGAATGGTAAATTTTAAACGTTTTGAAAAATTACGGTTAATCATAAAAAGTGATGTGGATTTAGAGAGTTGTTCTTGAACTTGCAATCAATCGAACAACCCTCTGCAATTCAAAGTAACATGATGAAGTTACAAGAGACGAGGAAAGAATTGCAGAGAAGCAGACGATACAGCTGGTTTTATACATCTCTCACGACCCTGCTCTCGGAAAATCAGATCTTGTTACTGGTTTATACAGTTGTTTACACTCTGTTCTCGAAAAATCAGATCTTGTTACAACTGGGTTTTATACA